CACCTTACGATTGCAATTTATTTTTATATTTCAGTTTACGAGGTTTCAAAAACATATACCTAGTTAAGGTTTAGTAAAGTCCGGGACGCATGAGTTCTGTTTTTTGTTTATAATTTCTTTATTCGACTTAAAAAAACGCTACAGTCACGTGTTTTATAAAACAGACACCGTCAGTTTATAAGAATCACGGTACACGTATGACTATGCAGGATAACACCCCTATATTATAACATAACATCACGTCACGCCTTTTATCCCCGACAGTGTGGGCACATTATACCACTGTATAATGTAACACCCACTTTTCACTATTTATGTTATGAGTCCCATGTAATAGGGGGTGAGCCTATTGCCATATACCGACACAATTCCAGAATCCGTGCTACTACTGAGATTTTTTTTAAACACAGTAATACTTTGCCGGACCCGGAAATCGAACCCGAGACCCCTTGCCCGGCACTCGCACTTGCGACCACTCGGCCAACGAGGCAATTCTATATTAAATCTTTAAATTACAAAGTGGATAATACTTACAGTTTTTTCTTTATAATGTAGGTACAAATCACTGTCACACAAGTTATCCAGTAAATTAACATTAACGCGTCTTTTGAACCAGACATAGTTTTAAAACAGTAATTCACCACAAATGTATGCTAATTAACAAATAATTTATTGTAAAAAATTTAATCTATTCTAAAATGCAACATTGATTTCAACGGCATTCGCAAGAAACTATCTCAGATACCCTCCACATATGAATATAATTTTTTGCACCGGGGCGCGGCGCAAGCCCGTCATCACGGTAATCTTATACTATTATATAAAGCGGAAGACTTTTTTTTTTGGGTTGTTTGTTTGATCGCGCTAATCTCCGTAACTACAAGTCTGATTTAAATAATTCTTTCTGTGTTGGATAGCCCATTTATTGAAGATGGCTATAGGCTATAAAACATCACGCTACGACCAATAGGAGCTGAGCAGAGCGCGTGAAACCGCGCGGAAGTAGCTAGTTGCAACTTTAAGTTGTTTGTGTCGTTAGTTACGAAGCAATATACTTCAAGGTAAACCAATCCTTCAAATTACTCTAAATACGGCCAATGGTAACTCATGCATTGAGCCTAGGACTAGGCTTTTGATTTTAATTAGTTGCCGATGTAAAACTTAAAGGCACTTATTATCATTTCAATAGTTCAAACTTTAAATTCTTGGTACCTTACTGCTTCATACCAACGCCTGGTGTCTTTTTTTTTAAGCGGGGATAATCATCGAATGGCTGCTCCCGCCTGGGTGAGACCGTAGGGAGTGTCAGATTCTTACTGACTCAAAACCACCCCGTTCCTTCTCCTGCACGTCGAGCCGGAACTCCGGTAACCCGTTAGGTTCTCCGCGACATATCGCTGATCAAAATGGCGAATGGATAAATAATACGAAAACTAATAGATATTAGAAATTGTTAGACCTCACCAGCCTGTTCATTGAATATATTGCATATAGGACACTGTCAATCAAGCTTGCATTGCAGTCCAGGTAACGTCGATTCAACAGAACTTTGACCTTCTGCCATCAACGGCCGACGCTCAGCTACTGCCGCAGTCGCCAACCGAAGCTGTAGCGAGGTCAGCACAGGCGCACTGGTGTGCGTATCCTCATGTATCCTCACCAGCAATAGGCAGCATCGTTCCTCCATGCAGTCAAAAAAATCAAAATTTAGTGCTTCTGTTCACTTAACTTTACATAAGCCATATTAGCAGAATCGCCTGGGAATATTAGCAGAATCATTTCAGTACGTGACATTCGTTGTCACGTAAATATAACAAATTACAATGTAAAAAACTTGAGATTGTTTGAACATTTTGTTTTTGATTTGATTAATTTGTAGCCTAAACTGTCAAACACCAAGCGGTCACCGGTGTCTATAAAACCGGTACTCGACGAGTTAATTTTATTAATGTGCATACCTACACGCGCGGAGAACCTAACGGGTTACCGGGGCTCCCGCTCGAAATGCAGGAGAAGGAACGGGGTGGTTTTTAGTCAGTAAAAGTCTGACACTCCCTTCCGCCTAACCCAGGCGGGAGAAGTCATTCGATGATTTTCCCCACTTAAAAAAAATACCTACACGTACAAAATAATACACAAAAGCATTATAGCTTTATAAACGAGAATTGGAACGTACTCACCGTTAATTTCAGTCATAGTCATATGTTACCACAATACCTCGATCACAACGTATGTATGTATGTACATGTAATTTACTAACTACATTAATGCGAACAGACTTATAACAAATGTAAAATTTTGTATAGTCAAACTGCCGTATCATGTAATAATTACAAAGAAAATCAGATCACATAGAAAATAATGGAATGCCACTTTAGAAATATTAGAAAACTTAAACACTCGCATAGAGTTTACCTTACTCTTTGATATTAGAAACTTATTGGTTTTAAACCACATTTAATTTTTTATTTTTTTGAAACTCAGGAGGAATGGAAATTGTAGAGTACAACCATTACAATGCACTCATATTGTTAACATCTAAATCAAATTACAAAACCAGGACTAGCTACACTATAACTATTATTGGAAAGAAAAACAACAACAATAGGCAATTTGACTTTCAAGTACATTAAATTTCTCTCAACACTAAATACGCCGTCTCAATAACTTCAGAGTTCCCGCCATCTTGACTTTTTCATTTCTCGAACCACAGATTAAAATTAACGTTTCGTTTGTTTGGTTGAAAATAAATATCAATATTTATATTTTATCACATAAGAAATTAAATTTCCGTCTGAAAAGAATAATTAAATATTTATATTAGTAAAGTAATTTTTTACATTATTTGTATATTTATAACCAACTAGATTCTGCCCGCGACTCCGTTCGCGTAATCCCGTTTTCTCCCGTTCCCGTAGGAATTTTAGGATTTTTTCTGTCGTAAGAACCTCCTCCTAATAATAACAAATACAATAACAAAAGAATTAGTGAAATCGGTCTAGCCATTCAAGCGTGATGCCGTGACAATGGAAAACGAATTTCATTTTTATATATATAGATTTATAAAATGTTATTGCAGTTGCACCCTTTCATCAAAAAATATATTTTTTTTTTAGAGTTTTAATTACTTAGCGATGGACAAGTGATCATTAGTACTTTTTAACTGTCATTTATAATTTTAGCACAATTTAAGTATTACTGAGGTTTTTAAAAATTCTCAGTAGTAGCACGGGGTCTGGAATTGTGCCCGGTATATGGCAATAGGCTCACTCCCTATTACATGGGACTCATAACATAAATAATGATAAGTGGGTGTTACATTATACAGTGGCAATAAGTGCCGTAATGTGCACCTGTGCCTTCGGGGATAAAAGGCGTGATATTATGTGCTATCTATTGCTGGTAGCGATTTACTTTGTTGTTGCGCGGTGTTTTTAAGTGGGTACATTTATAAGTACTTTTTCGATATCGCTTCTATGCTAATCTTTACCATATACATGATGCGATAAGGTACAAATTACTTTGTTTTTAATTAAATTATTGCTCGTCAGCGGGTATATTTTATAGGTACCAAGCTGCTATTATCTCTGATCAAGTCGTCATTTTTTGTTAGCTTTAAACGATGTTATCATCGGTTTGTATAACGGACTTCAGTGTTCCGGTGTTTTCATGGTTGTAGATCCTGGCTTACAGAAATTGCAGCGGTTTTGGGAAGCTGTGGCGGGCTTGTCCCATTAAAAATAACGTTAATTATAAGAACAATGTGAGTTGGTGTGTCTTTACCTGCTTTAACCATACTTATTTTACTTACTTACTATAGAAAGCTGAAGAGTTTGTTTGTTTGTTCAAACGCGCTGATTTCTGAAACTACTAGGTAGATGGTCTATTCACCGAGGAAGGCTTTAAAACATAATTGCATTCAATTTTTTGTAAGTGGGGAAAATCATGATGACTGCTCCCGCCTGTGTGAGGCGGGAGGGAGTGTCAGACTCTTACTGACTAAAAACCACTCCGTTTCTTCTCCTGCACGTCGAGCCGGAGCCCCGGGTTACCCGTTAGGTTCTCCGCGACGAATTGCATTCAATAGGAGCCGAGCAGAGCGGGTAAAACCGCGTTGAAGGATTAAGTCATTATTTTACGAACGAGCCTTTATTTATTTAGAGGGATCAGTAGCTCTTATACCTTGTTCGCACGATGTTAGTAATTTAGTCGAGTTGCGAATATTTAATAGTTCTCTCTCACTTCCTTTTTAGGACAGAAGGGAGAGAGGACTACTGAATATTCGCTACTCGACTAAAATACTAACGTAGTGTGAACTAGATAGACACATTGCCGGCCATATCTATACAACATGTAACGTAATTAACGCACACCCTCAAACACCCCAATTAGAATATTATGTTATAATCATAATATATACACTAAATTTTTAATTTAACTTGTCATAAGGTTTATTTCCTTTATTTTGTATTGAATGATAGAATTTGTATGAATACAAATAAAACTGCGATTTTAAAAGTCTTATTGCTTTGACTTACGGTCCATTTCGATTTTTTTTAACAATACAGGGTTAATATGACAACAATTTCCGTAGTTTTAATTATTTTTGGGATAAAAAATTACCTATACTAAAAATTATATAAATCGATTCAGTTAACGATTCTGAACAAACTATTTTCAGGATGTGCGTTATTTAAAATACGTGTATATAAAAATTAAATCAGTTTCCCGTTGTCACGCAATAACTTGAGAACGGCTTTTCTGTTGTGTTTGTTATTGTCAGGAGAAGATTCTTATGATAGAAAAAAAATCCTGAAAGACTTATGGGAACGGGAGAAAACGGGATTGCGCGTACGAAGTCGCGGGCAGAAGCTAGTTATATTATACACTGGACAAACGCATCGCCGGCCGTGCTTATGTCATTGAACTGACCTTGGTGTAACGCATCGGCGTCGCCCACACTTTTACAATATTTTATTATTTCACCAGTCGCGACCTATCTATGACGCCGGACGCTTGCTCGTGCTTGAACTACCGTGTGTAAGTACCCGCTCTTAACCGATAAATAAATTTATCGAAATATATCTCCAGCTTGTGCTCGCTCTCTTGTCCTTCTAGATTTTATTATTTAAAATAATTTGGTGGAGACTATCGTCTATAGTGTTGGACAAAATATATAAAAGTAAAGGGTGGACTACCTCCTATTATAATGAACCGTTAAGTCACCTTTCTAACTAACACACACGGACCAACCCGCTAATTGTAAAATTTTATAAGAAAAATGTATTAAATTCTTTATATGGTTTTTATATAAAACTTCTGTGTTGCATTTCATATTAAAGCTAAGATATTCTTATGTGTTTCTGTGCAGGATAAAGACTTGAGTGCAGTGGAAGCCGCATATGTACCTGTAATGAAAATTGATTTCGATGGCATCGATACCGACGTATTGTAAGAGACTTCTGATTCGGCAAATCCCAGGTTTGACTTATTTAACTTATAGTACACTTACTTAACTTAAACTATAATGTCCCCCTAGATAAGTTAGAAGGCGTATACACAGACTCTAAAACAAAAAAGAAAGATATTTAATCTTCTTGAATTTTATTTAAAACGTCAGTTAAATCTCATTTATATCACACTAGTATTATAAATGTGAAAGTTTCTTTGTTTTGATGTTTGTGTGTCAATAACGATTAAACTATTGAACGAATTATGGTGATATTTGGTACACAAGGTATGGGCTGACTTAGGTGATAATGCTCCCATGGAATACAAAAGGAATACGCGGGCCAAACCGCGGGTAATAGGTAGTTTTTTTTTTATATAAATTACGTGTTTAGGATAAAATGAATTATGTTTGTGAACACATTCGTTGCACCTTGATAACGAAATGTTGCTGAAAAATTTGTACCCGGAGTGTTTTCTACATTTTTTAAACTCCGTAAAACACAGTTTTAAAAACTTACAGTTACCCTCATCAACACTCCTGTCTACCCTCACCAAAATTATAAAAAAGTATATTTATTTTCCTTCGAGTACCGTCATTATAGACACAATTAAAGAACAATAGGTTGTGGTCACCGGTGACCGCGCGGTGTATGACAATTTAATACTTACAGATGTACGTAATTGTGCATGTGCTGATGTATATGTAATTTGTTTAAGGTAAACGAGGCGGATCGAGACCACGTGATGCCCATCATCACTCCTGCCTACCCTCAGCAAAACTCTACATTTAACGTGTCCCCTTCCACCAGGTCCGTCATGGTAGAGGAGTTGAAGATTGGTGAGTACATCATCCAACAAGTAACATTTCAAACTTAATGTCATTGTATCTAGATTGCCTTCGTTGTGTAATTGTAAGAAAGTATTTTTAAATTAATATTGTATTCGTGCACAGGTCTGGCCACGACTTAAAGAGATAATAAAGGCAAGCAAGTGTGTTGTGTTTTGTTCGAGATGCCCGCATTTTTTAATATATTTAAACATTTCGCGGTAGTACCGGCCTCCGCCAGCGAGGACGACCAGCTGAAGTGGTGCGGGCTCGTTGAGAGCAGGATTCGACATCTAGTCGGTCAGTATTCACTATAAGTCTACTAATATATTTCCCTTAGCTTCGTAATGCAAGCTCACGGCCTCTTAATGGCAATATATCTAACGGTGTATATTTGTTACAGATTCACTTCAAAAGGACGAACCAGTGGCATTAGCGCGGGTGCACCCAAAGTGCTACAACTGTCCACCCGTTAGTGCAACCACTGGGCAGGCCCAGCCAACTGCTGCTCGATGTGGTTCATCGGATTGGAGTTTGAGAAGACCTCTGTCAACTTAGATATGACGTGTCACATACAGACGTTCACGGAGAACGTTAACAATATCGGGAGGAAAACCAACATGCTTCAGGACGGCATGGCTATACAGGTAATTTATTACTTCTAAACTTTAAAGAAATTGGTTTCCTAATTTATAAATTAATTAAATTAATAAATTAAATTAAATTAATTAGTCTCCCATATAAGTTTTTTCAGTTATAAGTTTGTCAACAGTAAGTAACATTTGATGTTTTGTCAGGTCCGGTATATGCGTCGAGCCCGACTCCCTGATGCGCCGCGGGCTCACCTCCACCGATACCAAGCGCGAGCTACATCATAGCTTTATGCCCCCGGCCGCGCTCGCGCCCAGAGCTGCGTTTGCGCCACCCGCGCTACCCAAGGTCACAACGTAGCCTCGTTACTTTGACCCCAAATAAAATAAGGAGGTTATAAAATAAATTTGTCAACGCTTGTATTATAGGATATTGTATTTTATTTGTATTGTAAATAGTTAGTTTCAGTTCTCTTTTATTTCATTTTCTTTAATATGTAATTTGTATATAATCTTAATAATTTATCTGTAACATAGTTTGTTTGTTATTACATAGATGTTCTTATGTTTAAAAAAGAAACAGGTTTAGCTACACTGTTTCGCTTTGCTTCGCATACAAATATAAATACCTATAGACCTATATAATGAATACAAACAAATAAAAGCTATTTAAAGTCAAGAATTTCAATTTAAAAATCAAGGTCATATAAAAACCTTTAAAAATAATAATATTTTTTTTAAACCATTTTAGGAGTAACTAATTTTAGTAAGTGATACCAAGTGAAAATAATATTATTTTATATTAACTATTACTCACGTGAATTTACTGAGAAAAGCTCTACTAGTTTCAGATGGGTTCTTCCTCGCGATTTAGTTAATTTAGTATGTCTCACTATAGTTATTATAAAAACAGTTATATAACACATGTATTTCAAACATATATCACTGTGTATAAATATAAAACATACACCACATATATAAAATATATTTCATATATCACTATAATATATATTCTGGGCGGATTCTGACAAATTTGCATATTTCCAAGATGTACTATGTGCATATCAGGTCGAGTATTTTGTGTCTAAAAGTGGTCTACAGCTGTCGGTTTGGTCTATATCTGTCATTATTCGGATTAACTTTTTTTAGGGTAAAAATATGGTCTGTGAGTTATAGTATATCTACGCTTGGGCATCACTATAATATGTGGCAAGTGCAGTTTTAAAGTTACTAGTTTTTTTTATTTCTTATAAGGCCTAGGAAAATTGTTATAGTTTTCATTTATTTTTTATACAAAGGCTCATTTACTCAAGATGGCTATTTTACGTAAATTATGTCGAGCTTACTAGGTATTGATTTGTTTTTTACTAATTGATCAAGGTGATAAGTGATAAGACCATAGCAAGTTTCGATCCCACCAGAGTCCTAAAAATGTATCAATTTAGTGTGATCGGTATCAGTGATAATTTTGTAGCAATATCGGATTTTGAGGTCAATGGAATACATTCGCTTTGAAGAATTTCTTGTTTAATTCTAAATTCTCTAATTTCTAAATGTCTTTGGGAGTTATTGTTGTTTAGCCAGTCTATTATCTCTGTATATATCTATATATATATCCATATATATCTTTATATATATCCATATGTATGTCTCTATATTCTCAAAACTGATTGATATCGCTATTTCGAATGGCGATAAATTTTGGTTCGGAAAGGTTACTGTTATATCATCTGCAAAAATGTTGTGGGATGTTTAATTCTACTCAGCATGTCGTTAATTGAAATTAAAACAGAAGTGGTCCTAGTACGCTTCCTTGTGGCACACCGTATCGTACCTTTATCACCTTATCGTCAGCTCAGTCTTGGTGCCTGGATATATTTTTTAATATATGTTATTTCTTGTCTACTCATTAAATATGACTCAAACTCAATATATTACCCCTTATTCGGTAACTTTGTAGCTTTAACAAAAATAGTTTAAAATTTACATAAGATATGTCTATCAAACACACACACATACACCGGATTCCTGTTATCTACATTCGTAACAATATATTCAAAAAGTATATAAATAGCAGTATTAATATTTATGTATTTCCTGAAACCGTATTATTCTTCCCTTAGAATGTATTTATGGTCCAGGAACAAATACAATGTTGTATAGTACCTTCTCTATAACTTTTGAAAATATCTAATGCAACAGGTCTATAATTTTTCGGCTCGTTTCTATTTCCTTTTTTATATAAGGGTATTTAAAATTGATATTTTAACGCATTGGGGAATACACCATTATCAATAACTAAGTTAATGAACTTATTTGAACTTATTTCACTTGCAACAATTTTCACGACTTTGGTGGACATTGGACTTATTTTATTCAAAGTCAAAGTCAAAATCATTTATTTCAATCAGACCAGAAAGGCACTTTTGAACGTCAATAATAAAATTAAAAGTGAAGCTATTTGCTCATTCCAAGGTGTAGATTCCTATGGAGAAGAACGAGCAAGAAACTCCATAGGTTACTCTTTTTCAATCAGGTTCACAATACAATTCTCTAGTTACATAGTTTGCTGTTTGGATTGTGCGAGAACAATGTAACACTAAAATCTAGTCAAAGATATTGAAAAAGAAAATAACCTTAAAGACAATACAGTCTGGAGCTGACCAGTCCCAGTTGACGGCGCCCGTTCACGAACATGACACGTACACCGGCACCGCCCAAATCAACCATATTGTAGGGAATCGAGCGATCCACTGCACGCGCCACCGCCAATGAGACCTTTGAGTGAGCATGACAACTCCACGCTGACACATTATATCTAGTATCGGTATTTTTAAGTATGTCAACAATTTTGCAAACGTCCTGTGGAACAGTGGCCGACATGAACATTGTGTGTTAATCTGATTCCACAAAAATCAACGTTAGGATATTTAATGGTGGTCATTGGTTTTACTTGATGTATTTATATAAAAAATATTAAATATTTGATCAATCTCCATGATGTCATATTTATTATTTACATTTTTAGGGATTCGTGCGTTGGGTTAAATCCCTAATTTGAGTTATGCTCATTCTGGTCGATAACTTAGTGGTTGAGTGAAACACGTCGTTCGGATATATTTCGCGTAAACCCCCAAGAGAACCGTTCACTCGGACCAGTGCGTAGTAACTTGTCCTGTAAATGTGAGACTGTAACTGTCCTAAAGAAGATATTCTTTCTCGACATTATTCAGTCTTGATCGTCGATCACTCATTGCCGATTCTGACTTGATGGTGGCGACATCTGTCATCTGTCTTTAAAATGGTGCAATTCGTCGTCCATATACTGAGGATCGCATAGATTCAGCGCCCGGTTTATCGAAGTCCGGGGAACAGCGGCCAGGTGGGAGGGACGATAGTGTGAGTCAGCTCGTAATTACCGGTCTGTATGTGTCGGTTTACGATACACTGTGTGACAATCGACCATTTTCTTCTCGTCTTACGAGGACATCCAAGAACGGCAACATCCCTTCTCTCTCTTCTTCAGTGGTGAATTGTATACTGTCGAGCATTGAGTTCAAGTGTCCCTCAAATTCAGCCACATGTTTTCGGTTGATCAACGTATCTTCACCAATATCGCAGTCGTACGTGGGCGGATGCCAAGTCTTGACTCTCAAACCACTCGATTGAGTGTCTCTTAAAATTCTTTTCTGTTACGAAATGTAGATGTTAGCCACCACTGGTGCTAGTGGCGACACCATAGACACTCCGTTCACCTGCAGATAGTAATCCTGTCTCCACTGTCCTCAAGTATCTTGGTCATTATAGATGTCGTTTCATCTACTGCAACATTTATGAATAACGATGTTATGTCGAAACTTATCATCATCTCTGTATCTTGTATGTGTACATCCGCCAATAAAGTGACCAAATGGCGGGAGTCCTTTACGTAGGTGTTCGTTTTACCTGTAAACGGTTGCAGTATAGTAGCCAAATGACGCGACAGGTTATAAGTAGGTGCGTCTATTTGACTGACTATAGGTCTTAGGGGCCAGTTTGGCTTGTGGATTTTGGGCAACCCGTATATCTTTGGTGATGTTGGGTTTTGAGGGCGTAGACGTGCCACCAGTTCTTTGTCACAAAGGCTTTGCAGTAACTTAATGGTTTCCGTAATTACCCTCGCTGTCGGATCATTAGATACCTTCTTATATACCGTGGTGTCAATTAGCATTTGCGTGATTACATGCTCTTACGCTTTCGTGTCGACCACCACAGTCGCATTGCCTTTGTCCGCTGGTAGCACTAGGATTTCCAAATCATTACGCAAATCACGGAGTGCTGACATCTCCTTCACCGGTATGTTAGATTTAGGTGGCGATGATTTACGCAATAATGACGACACGTCTTACCGCAGGCACTCAGCGTCGCTGCGAGGTATCTTATTACGGAAGATCCTATTTTCGATGTTGTTATGATATCCTCCACAGCAAATTTCTGAGGTGCCGGCGCGTAATTTAGTCCTCGGGTAAGTACATTGACGGCATCAGCTGATTGTTGTTTTGATGATAAATTGACAACCGTGTTTGTCCTACTTCCTTTGTTCGGCAATTTTTATATTGCGGGTAC